TACAGTTGGTCAGGATTGGGCAACTTCAGGGGTGAAGAAAAGATAGATGGTGTAATGAATTAGTAGCATTGTGTCTCATTTTAAATATCACTTTTTTTCCCAATTGATATAGGTTTGAGGGTGGGAGGCACAGATATCTCAGTGAAATTCCTGAAGTGGTTGGGATTGAAGATAGGCCTTCTGGATGACAATGAAGGCAAATTTGTAGTTATTTCAATGAGACTGCTAAATTTGGCAATTTGGGAAATGAGGGCTATTATTTTAATGTTAATGACTTTCACTTATTGTAATTTGGAATCAAGTTGAAGACAGGACCAAAAACAATGTTACACTGCCTCATTGGTACTGTGCTTTTGTTCTGGCCCGGGGAAGAGAAAAGGATCAGATCTTAGAGCGGTTAAGATCTATGTGACCTAAGTGACCATTAAATGTATTTTCGACTGCTACTCAGCCTTACTTGTCTTACTTCTGGTGTTTGTAGGAACTTGTTTCTGGACCTGATGTTTCTCTGAATAACATCTTAATGGCCAAATAAATTCTCAAGGGCTTTCCAAAGAAAACCTTGAAATCCCAGTGGTGTTTGTAGGCCACCATGGGCTGTATAATGCAAAACAACTGATAGTTACAGTGGTCTCAGTTCTATCTGGATTTCAACATAAATCAATTTATAATCTCTGGGGATCACTGTGTTGTCTGGGTAGTGGTCATGGAGGAAGGGGACATATTGTACCCCTTCACAAACCAAAGTAATCCTTGATTTGAAGAGTCAGTGAATATTTGTAAAAATAATCCAAACACATTCTTCCATATTATGATGGACTCAAAGTCAGAAGTTGAAAGTGCATTGCCAGAACAACTAAAGTAAAAACATGCTACCCTGTCTGAAAAGCAAAAGCAAATGAGGAATGACTCATGTGACAGGATAATTGTGTAGCAGACAGCAAGTTTCGAGTTTCAGTATCCATAACACCCAAAATAAAATTCTGCAAGTTGTCAATCAATTTGGCAAATAGGCAACATCCTACCACTGCCACAGTCTGCACATAATTCCAGTTTCCAGTTTGCTTTTTACAAAGACTTTTTTTTTGCGGGGGGTCTGGTCGTGAAGCCTGAACTCTGGGCCGGGATGCTGTCCCTCAGCCCTTCAGCTCAAGGGTAGTGCTCTACCACTTGAGCCACAGCGCCACTTCGGGCTTTTTCCTTTTTGCTTATGTAGTGCTGAGTAATCGAACCCAGGGCCTCATGCATGCAAGGCAAGCGCTCTACCACTGAGCCACCTTCCCAGCCCCTTTACAAAGATTTTATGCATTTAAAATAGTCTTGTTCTTTTTAAAGTATAATGATAATTCATCAGAAGAAGTAATAGAGGGGAGGCAGCACACTGCATAATTCTTCCAATGTGACTCAATCGCACGCTCACAAGCTTTCAGTGCTGTAGTTTTCTTTATTATTCCATAATAAATGGGCTACAATTTTTCTTAATTTGGAATTGTTCTATTGTGTCATGTCTGTCAATTCTGATGATCCTAGTTATCACAATGAAAGTCTGACTTGTTAGACCAGATCTGTTAACGTTAGCAAACTTCTCTATACACTCTGCTTATTCTCTCCATTCACCATAAATGCCTAAGCATTTTCCTTGTTGTTTAGGTTTTTTGGAGTTTATTTGTTTGTTCCTGTGTACTAGTAAGGAGATAACCCAGGCCTCAACTTTGCTGTAGGCATCTCTAGGTGTGAGTTTGGTTTCTTGTGCTTTGATGTTATCTGGCTATGAAGAATCCAACCAGAATCTTGTTGCAGGGAGAATGTAAAGTTCTATACTATTTTTATCTGGTTTATCAGGCAATGCTGGTATCTTGATATTCAATATATTTGTGCTCACTTCTACCAGACATTTTGTGTCTCACTGTCATCTTGAAGCAAGAGAGGAGACCTCTGCCTGTATACCAAAATGAACACCATATCAGGAATGAGCGCCCTCAGAATTTCCTCAGAGCTGATGAGAGGAGGGTTGCATGCATACCTCATCTCCTCATTTTACAGAGAATAACATGAATGTGTTTTGCCCACTTCCATGGGACATTGAAGTTCTGTCATCTTCAGCAGCAGGAAGTGTTTAGCTTGTTGTATGGTCTTTACTGTCCATTTCCCCTTCCCTATGTTTCTTCCTCCCTTCACATTGCTTCCTAAACATCCTAAATTGTGCAGACAGACCCTAGAACCACTTGGGAACTCTGACTGTGTACAGTAAGTGTGACTGAGTTGTGTGAATGGAGAAAGCCTGATGCTAGTAGCAAACTGCTGGCCTGTGTATTGGCTTATCCTGTTTATATGGGATTCTAAGTGCTTTTATGATTACACAGCTGTCCTATAGAAAAACAGAATGAGTGTTTGCTATGTGGTGAGTTTATACTCTACTATTTCTGATACAGATATGGGCCAATGTTGAGGCTAATTCAGTTTTTTTCAGATATCTATCTATCTATCTATCTATCTATCTATCTATCTATCTATCTATCTATCTATCTATCTATCTATCTATCTCTATCCATCCATCAATGTATACTTCTTAATCCAAAAAAGCATCAGACACAATTTAGAACTCACTTGATAATATAGGGATATTATGGAAGCTCATTCTTGGGATGTGAGACAGTCAGAAGTTTTGCTTATGTATCACCAGATCTGCAAGAAATGTGAGAACAAACATCCTCTCTGCTATTTTCAAGCCTAGTTTTCTGTTAGGATTTTTCCTTTCTTCCTTTTTTAAAAATTTTCTTTTACTATAAAGATGCTGTATATGAGTAAGGTAATGAGTATATTTTTTTGAAGATTGTTATCCCTTCTTTTGTTTTTTTTCCTACTATTACTTCTGTCTCTCACCTCCACTACTTCTTCCTTCCCTGTCTTTCTTTTTCTTTTTTATTTATTTATTTTTTTCCAGGGCTGAGGACCGAACCCAGGGCCTTGCCCATGCTGGGTGGATGCCCTTCTGCTGGGCTAAACCCCCAGTTGCCCTGTCTTCCTTTTTAAACAGGGCCAACAGCCTTTTGCTATTTGTGAGGGACTAGAAAATGGAATGGTTTGTATCTTATGAATTCAAAATTTGTCCCTCTAGTAAGGCTTGCTGCTTGTAAACTTGGCCTTGTCCTTCCAGTGTTTCCTTGCCATTTGTGAGTTGTCAGCCTTTTAAGTCTCTTTCCTGAACTAAAACTGATGTTGTCTTTGAAACACTTGACCAAAAAATATCACAGTTACTGAGCTTTGGGTACTAGTTTCTAAGACTCTGAGAAGCTGAGAAAAGTAGGTGTATTTGGAAATTTCTGCTGTAGTTTGCATGAGAATGGGAAGTGCTCATTCTATTTTGGAGCTCCCTAGGGAAACTGACTTTCTTGTTGTGGTCCTGAATATTGTAGGTGACTCTTTTCCCAGAAGCATTGTGAGATTATCAATGGTGGCTTCTGCTTTTTGAGTTCATAATTTTTGTTTGTTTTTGGTGAGTAACTTTTTGGTTTTGTCTGGTTAAAATAATCTTCTGTTTTGTTAAGCTTGTATTTAGTTGGTTGGAGTTTTTTTTTTAAGAATCTTTTTATTTTTTGCTGGTAAGATAACTTGTCATTAACAATATTTTAGTGAATTGTTTTAGCCACTCCTAATTGAAAAACAGAAGTAAAAGTAAGTAGCTGAGATTATACTTTGAGATTAAGAAAACAAACCAAAAATAAAAATTATTAAAAAACAAATTATTACTCTATAAAAATTTGTTTTAGGCCTTATTTGGCTTGCAAATATTAAAGTTTAATCATTTAAACAAGGGACCTTTGCATGTTTTAGGTTTTCATAAATATTTAGCTTAAATTAATGTATATTTTTAGTAATCCTCCATTACCACATTGCTTTTTCCTATACCATATCTCAAGTGCAGAGTCCTTCCATTGACATAGAAATAACTTTAGTTCTTCCCCATATTTGTCAGGTGGTTTAAATTTTATAGGTAATCAAAAAGCATCTGTTCAAAGTGAAGTTATTAGAAAAGATAATTTATTAATAATACATTTAATGGAAAAGTATTTACAAATAAATGGAAATACTAAGGTAGTTGCCAGGTGTTACCTCAAGTACTCTTGGTTTTATAAATTGTATGAAAAGGCTGTTATGTTTCTAGAGTCCATTCTGTTACTTTTCTCTTTCCTTTTTCCCTCTTCCTTCCTTGCTTCTTTTTTCCTTTCTTTCTGTTTTCTTTCTTTCTTTTTTGACATTATATTACTATGACATCCAGGCTATCCTTGATCATGTGACTTTCTCTGTAATAATTGTACCTGCAATATTAGAGTGACTCATGAACTAGTAAAAAGAAGCTGAGAGTTGCTGAGAGAAGCTCGTGAACAGGAATAGAGAAAGTATGATAGAAAGAGGACATGGCCTCTGTACCTTGAGGATAGAGTATATTAGTTCTGATTGAACTGAGAATCTAGATTCCAGAATGATATGAACATAGGCATACCTGAATAACATGATGTAGGAATACTGTCTCACATTTCTTTGGACTTTGAGCAAGCACAGTGGCCTTTTAATGTAAAGTCAAAATTCAAATTAATATATGAATATCAGTCTACATATGGAAGAGAGATAGATTTTTATCTATTCAGATATTTTTATTTTTGAAATGTTTCCAGCTACTAGTGTAAATAATTAATTAATTTAATTAACACCAATATGTTTTAAATTCATGATGTTGTAAACAGATGTTCTATTATTTGAGACATATTTTCCATCCTATTTGTTTAAGTGATTTTCAGTTATTGGGTCTCATAAAATTTCCCAGCGCAGTCTCAGGCTACACACTTCCTCATATGCTTCCCCCATATATTAGAATCCAGGCATGTGCCATCATGTCTTTTATTCCAGAAATATATCTTGTGACCTTTCTGGGATGTCATCAAACTCTGGTCCTCCTAATTTTGTCCTCCACATAGCTGAGATTATGATTGCAGGTAAGATCAATCACACTGAAAGTATTTCTTAAAATTCAGAACTATTTTCTTTGCAAGAGCTTTGTTTATCTAGAAAAAAAAGTGTAAAGTATGAAATTCCTAAGTGGTTCTTAGCTAGGAAGGAAAACACCAAATGATCCATCAGATTTTGCTGTACAAATACACAGACACACACACACACACACACTCCAGTTGTTGCATTTTCTTTCTTATAGTTTGAACACTTTTTACAAACAAATCTAGAAAGTGTTGATTGAAGTGAACAGTGGAAGTGACACATCTGGGACAGTGAACCTCAGTGAGCAGCTGTCTGAAGAATATTTTGTTTGAGGTAGAGCACTGTGATTGGAAACTTGTTATTCTCCTGACCATAGCAATTTGCAGCAGCTTCAGCCTCCCTGGATTTATGGTGAAATTGAAATCTGTCTCAGACCCACTGCCACTCAACTGGTTTTGGTACCCACTTTCCCTGTTGGATCCTGTATAGGTCAGAAGTTTTGGACTGTCCTTGTTTCTGTTGGTACCAATATATGAAACTCTCCAAATTTTATTATCAGCATTCTCCCTGGCTCTGCGGGTGATGGTAGCCATGTCTTGAAGAGACAGGGCCAGAGATGCAGGAATTTGAGTCAGTACAATGTCTCCAGTGGAGCCTGGAATGGAAATCATATGTCAAGAATGGCCACAGATGTACTGAGACCAAACCCAAAGTAGGCATATTGTATTAGTGACAGCTATAACTTATCAGGGCAGACACTTTAATAACAGAAAATTGAGCAACAAAGACTTGAATCAATCAGTTTGAGAACCCTGCAAATCAGAAAGCAACAATGGCCGTGATGAATGTGACTAACCCTTTCCTCCCACCTCACCTGGAGCCCAGAGCAGAACAGCCACACCAAGGAATCCTGTGATCCCATGTCCAACAGCGAGATTTGACAATGCTTTTCAGGTCTCAGAAACTGCCTCTAAAGAAGCTTTGAGGAACCTGCACTGTTATACAATGACACAATGTGCAAATAATTCAGAAAGGCTTGCCTTGATGTTTAAAGGAGACATAGGTTTTCCTTCACTCAATGGGAGTTGTGGCTAGACAAGACAAAAATAATATTGAATATTTTCTTGTGTAGCTCGAGTCTTTCCAGGAACTTGTGAATTTCTCTGTTGAAATTTTATTTCTACCTAAGATGCCTTGTGGGAGACCATGCCATGGTTGCCCTTCCACACATATGTCATTCAGAAATGCTTTGTATTCCCCAAATTGAAGTTGTCACAACATCTCAAGCAGTATATTCCAAAAGGAAGTAAGTAGAGTTTATAGAATAGTGAAATCACTCAGCTGGAGGAAGGAGAGGGAGGTTGTCTTCCTGAATAAATCTCCAGAACAGCATGTCTGCAAATGCCATCCAGAGCTGGAAAGTTTGGGAGGTGCGATTGTGCTACAGTAGTCAATCAGCTGGTGTTACCAATGAACAAGGAAGCCTTTCTGGGTTGCCAAGTCACTCACACAGTTAGACCAGCCTGGGTTACACAATGAGACAGGTAGGTTCCCAACCTGCATGAACTTACTTTACCTTCCTCTGGGTAAAGCAGACTTTCCTATCTGTTCAGATTTGAACCAAGATCTATTTTGCCCCTAGTTTTCCAATGATAGTGGAATCATTGCTGTGGTTCTTAATTTGAGTGAGAAATATCAGATCTATTCTTTTAGGCAGATCTTTGTTCTTACCAATGGAGGAATTAACTGAGGAACCTCAGGTTCTCCAATAGATCGACAAGATGATAAAAAAAATCATTGGATAGTGTTATGTAATCAAGGAGATTTATTTTAGACCAGGGAGTTAATGAAAAGTTATATCTAGAAATATGATTTGGGAGTTAAAGGATACAACAAATTCACCAAGAATCAATTATACATTATACTTGTGGACAATAGTATTTGTCTGTTTAATGGGAAATATGTAGCTTACTTAATAAATTCATGGGAAATATTTCATTCAACTACAAAAGTTATGGAGTATTTCATTGTCAGGTGTTTGTGACTTTAGAATGAATGTATTTCTAGCTATTCATGAGGCTGCAATCAGAGGAGTTATGTTTGATACCAGACCCAAAAGGAACGTGAGATTCTTATCTCCAATAAACTGCCAAAAGCCAGAAGTGGAGCTGTGACTCTCAAGGAAGAATGCTAGCTTAGCATAAAACTTAGGGACAGAACAACGGCTCTTGTTAATAGCCATTCTAACTGGGGTGAGGTGGTATCTCAGTGTTGTTTTGATTTGAATTTTTTATAGCTAGAGAAGTTGAACATTTCTTCATGTGTATATGGGCCATCCTTCTTTCCTCTTCAGAAAAGTTTCTTTGTAAGTCTTTAACCCACTTATTCATTTGGCAGTTGTTTCTTTGAGGGTTTATTGTTGGGAAATTTAATTTTTTTGAGTTCCAATTATATTTTAAATACGAGACCCTTGTCCCTTGTATGGCTAGTGAAGATCTTCTCCCAATCCGTGGGCTTTCTATTGATCTTGATAGCTATGTCCTTTGCTATGCAGAAACTCTGCAATTTCATGCAATCCCATTTGTCCAACTTTTCTTTGATTTGTTGTGCTTTTGGGTCTCTATTAAGAAATTTTCGGCCTGTGCCAAGGAAACTTAGGGTTTCTACTATTCTGTCCTGTAATGTTTTCAGAGTGTCTGCTATGACTCTGAGGTCTTTGATCCATTTGGATTTGATTCTGGACAGGGTAATATATAAGGATCTAGCTTTATTTTTCTACAAGTGAATAACCATTTTTGCCAGCACCATTTACTGAATAGGATGTCTTTCTTCCACTGTATTTTTTTAGATCTCTTATCGAAGATTAGATGGCTACTGGTCTGTGGGTTCATTTCTGGATTTTCATACTATCCTATCATCAGGTCTTTTCTTGAAACCAAGGTCTCTGCAGTAACCAAACTGTTTTGAATACTATGGCTTTTTAGTAGAGTTTAAATTTGGTATTGATATTCCTCCATCACTGTCCTTTGTGTTAAGTAGCATTTTTGCTTTTCCGGGTCATGGCTAAAATCAAGAACTCCAATAATAATAGATGCTTTAGGGGATGTGGACAGAACGGAACCTTACTGCATTGTTGGTGGGAGTGTAAACTTGTTCAACCACTTTGGAAAGTAGTGTGGATGTTCCTCAAAAGACTCCACATAGAGCTCCCCTATGACCCAGCAATCCCACTTTTGGGCATTTACCAAATGACCACAAACAAAGCCATACTAAATCTAACAGCATAACTATGTTTACTGCAGCATTATTTCCATAACTAAGATATGGAACCAACACAAATGCCTCTCAGTAGATGAATGGATCAACAGAATGTGGTATATATACTCAATGGAATTCTATGCTTCCATCAGAAATGATTACATTGCCCCATATGTTAGGAAATGAAAAGACTTCCAAAAAATATACTAAGTGAAGTAAGCCAGGCACAAATATACTTAGGTCCCATGGTTTTTCTTATTTGCAATTACTAGTATATGTCTGAGACAAGCAGAAAAGATCAGATAAGATGATAAGCAAAATAACCCCCAAGATATGGACACAAGTACTTTTTTCTTTCTTTCTATTGCTTCTCACATATTTATAAGGTACCCTCTGGTTTTTTTGTTACTTTGTATGTCCCTCCCCCATGTTATAACCTGTTTTCACTATATTTGATATTTATATAATTTGGGGATGGGAAGAGTTAAAACAAATTTTTAAAGCAAGTATACAGGTTGATCCATTTCAACAATGTGATGTACAAGCGAACTTTACAATTTAGGAGGGAGGTGGGGAGGTGGGTTTGGAGTGTGTGTGGGAGTGTAGTTGAGGTGATGGGAGAGAAGGGATGGTAGAGGAAAATCAAAGGAGGAGGCAAAAATGCTTGATCAGAAATGTACTCATTATCCTGCTCATGTAGCTGTAACCCCTTCTTTGAACAGTATTCTCACAATAAAAAAAAACTTATTTTTAAAAAAATTACCTGTAATTCAATGAAAATGAATACACATCACCAAGAAACCTGTGGGACATGGCAAAAGGAGTCTTGAGGGACAAATTTATTGCTCTCAGTGCACACATAAAAAAATTTGAGACTCCATTTGTAATAGCCCTTCAAAAAATAAAATACCTACGAATTAACTTAACAAAAGAAGTGAAGGACCTCTATGATGAAAACTTTAAAATCTTGGAAAAAGGAAATCAAAACAGAACTTAGAAAATTGCAAAACCTCCCATGATCCTGGATTGGAAAGATTAACATCATGAAAATGGCAATACTTCTCAAAGCTATCTACAAATTCATTGCGATACCTATCAAAATTCCAACCTCATTCTTCAAGGAAATAGAAGAGGCAATCCAAAAGTTCATATGGAACAATAAAAGACCCCGAATAGCAAAAACGCTCCTCAACGGAAAGAACACTGATGGAGCAATATCAACACCAAATGTCAAACTCTATTATAAAGCCATAGTAATCAAAACAGCTTGGTACTGGCATAAGAACAGACCTCAAGACCAATGGAACAGAATTGAAAACCCAGAAATGAACCCGCAGACCTATAGCCAACTAATCTTCGATAAGGGAGCTAAAATAATAGAATGGAAGAAAGACAGCCTCTTCAGTAAGTGGTGCTGGCAAAATTGTTTAACTATGTGTAGAAAACTAAAGCTAGATGCTTATATATCACCCTGCACCAGAATCAACTCCAAATGGATCAAAGACCTCGGAGTCAAAGCACACACTGTGAAAACATTACAGGATGGAATAGGAGAAACCTTAGGCCTCCTTGGCTCAGGCTGAAATTTTCTTAATAGAGACATGGAAACACAACAAATCAAAGAAAGGTTGAACAAATGGGATTGCATGAAGTTGCAGAGCATTTGCATGGCAAAGGACATCGCTAGCAAGATCAAAAGAAAGTCTCCAGACTGGGAGATCTTCACTAGCCATACAACGGACAAGGGTCTCATATCTAAAATGTACTTGGAACTCAAAAAATTAAATCCCCCAACAACAAATTCTCAAGGAAACAACTCATATCTAAAATATACTTGGAACTTAACAAATTAAATCCCCCAACAACAAATTCTCAAGGAAACAACTGCCTAATAAGTAAGTGGGCTAAAGACTTGAAGAGAAACTTCTCTGAAGAAGAAAGAAGGAAGGCCAATAGACACATGAAGAAATACTCAACCTCCCTAGCCATAAAAGAAATGCAAATCAAAACACCATTGAGATACCACCTCACCCCAGTTAGAATGGGTATAATCAAGAACTCTAACAACAACAGATGCTGGAGGGGATGTGGACAGAAGGGAACCTTACTTCATTGTTGGTGGTAGTGTAAACTTGTTCAACCACTTTGGAAAGCAGTATGGAGGTTCCTGAAAAGACTTCACATAGAGCTCCCTTATGACCCAGCAATCCCACTTTTGGGTATTTACCCAAATGTTTACAAACAAGAATACAGTAAAGCTACCAGCACAACTATGTTTATTGCAGCATTATTTACCATAGCTAAGATATGGAACCAACCCCGATGCCCCTCAGCAAATGAATGGATCAAAAAAATTTAGTATATACACACAATGGAATTCTATATCTCCATCAGAAAGAATGGCATTGCCCCATTCGTTAGGAAATGGAAAGCCTTGGAAAACAATATATTAAGTGAAGTAAGCCAGGCCCAAAGAAACATAGGTCCCATGGATTTCCTTATTTGCAATTACTAGTATATGTCTGAGACAAGTAGAAATTGTCAGATAAATTGATATTAGTCTCATTGAACCCCATGATGAGGACTCAAATGGTTTTTCTTTCTTGCTATTGTTTCTAACATATTTACAAAATGATTACTTTGTTGTTTGTATGTCCCTCCCTCACGGTGTAACCCCAGTTTTCACTGTTTTTGATGTTGGTATAATTTGTGGAGGGGAAGATAAATAACAAATTGTTTAAATGGGGATACAGGTGGACCCATTGCATCAATGAGATGTACAAGACATTATGTTGAAAAATGAACTTTCCAACTTTGGCCAAGGAGGAGGGGAGGAGAGGGGAAGGGGGGAGATGGGAAAGGATGGGAAGGGGAAACAAAGGAGAAGGCAACAATGTTTGATAAGAAATGTACTCATTATCTTGTCCATGGAACTGTAACTTCTATGTATGGTATTTTCACAATAAAAAAATTAACAATAACAAAAAAGGAAAATGAGTTCTGTTAATGTTAAGTACAATGACTTTCATCCATTGTAATATGGAATCCAATTGAAACAGGACTAAGGACAGGTTGCATAGTCCCAGAGTACTGTGTACTGGTCTCCTCTCTGGGGATGATGCAAGTACTCTATTCAAGATTCAGAGCTCGGGAATCCATGTGACCTGCGGTTTAGATCCAGTGAATGTGTCTCTAACCACTGTCCATGTTTGCCTGTGGGTGTTTGTAGAACTTGTCTCAAGACCTGATTCTTTTCTAATATCTTACTGGCCTTGTACATTCTCAAGAGCTTTCTAGAGAGAGTCTCTTTGCAATCCCAGTGATATGTATAAACATCTATTGACTGTACAGTTCATAAAAAATTAGGACTGCAGTAGAAACCTCTCTTTTAAGTCTAGCTAGATCTCAACTTATATCTGTTTACAATAGGTGGGGCTCAAAGTGGTACCTGGTATATGATCATGAAAGAAAGGGAAATCTTGAATCCTTCCTAACCCAAGTTCATCCTGGATTTTAAATTTCAGTGAATATTTGTGAAAAGATCCAAACTCATTCTTCCATACTATGAGAAAAAAAGTCTGAAGTTGAAAGTGCATTGCCAGCCCTATTCAGGTACAAGCATGCTACCTGTCTGAAAAATAAAAATGGATGAGAAATGACTGATGGGTAGGAGTCAGGAAGCTTCAACAAAATAAATATATTCTCTACTTTGTCACTCAATATATTAAACAATTCCCATCCTATTATTGCTAGAATCTGTGTAGTTTTAAATGCATTTTTTGTCTGCTTCTCTTTTTGAATTTGCATTGAAAGCATATTGATTAAAAGAATATTGACATAAAATAGACCATATTTTATAAGCTTTACATTTATATGAATTACATATTTTAAAATTCTAAAACCTTTTATAGGTGAATGAGAGCTGTGGAATGAGATTTTTCCTCACAAGAGTTTGTACCTTTGATTCTGCTAGATTGATCCATGGGAGAGAGCACCAAATTAGTCCTCTCTGCTTCTGAAGTACTCTGAAGCCAAGTTCAACACTGCTGATGTGGTGCTGGTCCTGGTTCCTTCTCCCTCCTGGTCTTTGGCTCTGTGAGGATGCCAATAGAAGGCCATTGTGTCAGAACTCATCTTTATCTTCTTTTCTGAGTCCATTATTCATGACAAACAAACTGGGCTGAGAATTGTGCTATGATGTGAGGCCTCTTAATTCCTCCTATTACATTCACAATTCTGAGCACACACTTCAGAGCCTGCACGAGCTTCTTGAATCACTAACTCTCAAAAAGTGTGCTCACTTTTTTTTATATTATCTCATTTCTTCCTTGTCCTTGAGATCATCTTGCTCTTGTATTTTTATGTTTTTCCTGAGGAACAGTAATAGACACCTTTTCTAACAAATGGAAATTAAGTTGAAGACGACAGAATTGCCAATAGAATTGGAGGTCTTTATTATCCATACAGTTGATTCCTGACTCAGGTGGACACCAGCTGGTATATTGACATCAACCAAAACTAGTAAAGCTCCTAAGCTTCTGATCTAGGTTGGCTTGAATGAGGCAGGGGTTAGGATATTTATAACAGTTGAAGGACCATCTATAGAAATGTTTTGTTCTGTAAGCTGGATATTTGTGAAGTAAGAAATTGAAATATCACTTAACAGAGTTGTATTTGGAGAGGAAAGGAAGACACTGACTTGCAGAAGATCAGTGGCCAATATAAATTGTATTGTAGATTCTTTAATACATCAATTCAGAAAACCACAAAGATCATTTTTATTTGAGCAGTTTTTTTAATTTCTATGAAGAAACTAATTGAAAATGACCTATTTTATAATTTAGTGAAGTGGAATGTCCAAAATAATTGATGGGGACTCCTCATATATAAGAATTTGTTTCAACTATTAAATCAGACTCAGTACCATGGGTATTTTGCTGGGGCTAAGAACAACAGAATGCTATATTTCAGACAATTCTTCCTTTAGAATTTGGCTGCATCAGACTAGCAGTGTCAACACGTAGAACAACTAGGCAAAGCAGCTAAAGCAGGCCAACATCTCACTTCTGCTTTCCTGGGAGGTTTTGATAATGGCTTGTATCACTGTGGGAGGGTAATTAATACACTGTTGACAGTAATAAGTGGCAAAATCTTCAGGCTGAAGGCTGCTGATGGTGAGAGTATAATCTGTCTCATATCCACTTCCACTGAATCTGGATGGGACCCCAGAGGCCAAATTTGAAGTGTAATAGATCAGGAGCTTTGGGGCATTCCCTGGTTTCTGCTGATACCAGTTTAATACCCTGCTAATACCCTGACTGGCTTTACAGGAGATGGTGATTGTGTCTCCTGGAGAAGCGGACAGGGCAGAAGGAGACTGGGACATCTGGATGTCACATCTGGCACCTGGCATTAGAAACATAAAAGCAAATAGCCACATTATTAGTCATGTTATGACAGGACATCACTGAAGCTGCAGGCATCACTGACCACACAAGGTGAGAGAAGTATTATCCTTCCTTACCTGGGAGGCAGAGCAGCAGGAGCCCCAGGAGATGAGTAGCAGTCTTCATGTCCATGCTGTGTGCTGACTGGGACTGACTGCTGCACAGGTGTGAACAGCTTATTATGAAGTCATTGTGGCAGTAGGATGTGATCTAGTCAAATGCAAATCAGCAGGGCTGGACAAAGATGATAAAGCTCTAAGACTGGCTCATCTCAGGAAATCATCATAGGTCTATGGTAACCATGTGTCTTAGTTTTAGACTAGAGAATATGATTCATTCAAACAGGATAAGTCACAATTAATCTGCTGTCCTGTGCATAGACCTGTTGGTGCTAGCAGGGATGAGGACCTGCTTTTCTTGTGTGTCCTAATTTTAATTCTCTGTAATGAATCTAGAAAGGGATAAGATAAAGGCAAAATGAATGTTTTATAGTCCATATATGGAGAATAGAGTTTCTGGACATTTTAAACTGGTTTAATAACTTTATGCATTGGAACATTCTCACTGCCATAGCAAGAGATATAAGCTGTTTTTATGTCTCAGTCTGTTCCAACACACACATATAACCATAAAATAAAATGTGGATTCTCATTGGGCCCCAATGGCTCACACCTGTAATCCTAGCTACTCAAGAGGCTGAGATCTGAGGATCGTGGATCATAGCTAGTCTGGACAGGAAATTCTGTGAGAATCCTATCTCCAATTAACCACCAGAAAAATGGAAGTGTCACTGTGGCTCAACTAGTAATGCGCTAGCCTTGAGCTGAGGGGCTCAGGGATAGCACCTAGGCCCAGAGTTCAAGCCCCTCGACCAGCCTTTCCCCCAACCCCAGAAATGTGGATTCTCCTTAAGATCAGGTATAAAGCTGAGGCAAACTTTCCCTTATTTGGCTTTACTATGTAAATTATATAAACATTTAAAGCAAGGGAAGCAATTATAACAATGTCCTAAGTAAGCTATGTCCCATAGTTTGATGGCTAAGGGGCTGAATCAGAAGCTTGTTGCTACCAGAAAAAAAACAAAATTACCTCAGTATTTGTGATATGCCACTGTCTCTAGCTAGACGTTTTAATCTTGGACTTAAAACCACATGTTATCAATGTACATGCTATGTTTAATAATCTTACAATGACATACAATAATTCAAAAAGCAAGGCAATTAATTTATCCAAAATCTGCTTCTTCATGTGGAATACTAATAATTAAGAAGCATGTAGTCTCACATGGAAGGTGATCTGAACCAAATCAGTGAGTAAGAGAAAGGACATTGAGACAATGGCTTTATATAACATATTGTTTCTTTCTCATTGGGCTTCCAGTGTTATGATATATTCTCTGGGTCTTCATTATGTTCTCACCCTTGCAAATACATAGGATGATACCCAGATTCTTCCTTTCTGTCTGTGAATATTAGCAATCTCGAAGCTAGATCAGGTCAGAGAAGTTGTCTGTAACATGTATTGAGGAGAGCAAGGCAGACTGATAGCTGATTCTCCTAACCAAAAAATTGCTTTGGGCCATAGGCGTGTGAGAGCTTTTTCTACCTGTGAAGAGAATAAATTTCTACTATCTCGAACTTCCACAGACTGACTCTGGTGTTCAGATGTCTGCAGGTGAAGGGCCTAGAGCAATCACTGGCTAAATATATCAAGAGCCTATTGTTACAAGGTTGCCAGTCCTACCCCTAATGATCTTCACTGGATACTGGTGTGTAAATCCTGCCACCTGCTGGAAGGAATGGTCAAAATGAGGACAGCTTGGTTTTGGTCTAAGTCAGAGCCCAAGAGAAAACAATGTATAGATGGTTTATGAAAAGGCAGCATTGGGATATGATAAATCATACAGGATTCTAAATATCTACACAAAGTCAGACCAAAAGAGAATACTCTTAGGAGAGAAACAATTAGAATGTCTACATGCCTCTTCATATTTATATAAAATACATGTAAATATTCATATATTTCTAAATGAACTCAATGATACAGAACAAAAGATCTATCTTTCTTTTAATTTTTGGATGATTCTGTTTATTCATCTAAGTTGAATTCAAGTGCACATGCTCAGGAGTATTGAGGGAATACTGAATTGTATAGAATTTGAGGTAATAATTGTGAATAGGGGCAGCAGGGGAGCTCACTGGACATGCATGGAAGTGAACTATACAAGTTTATATATTTCATAGGTGGAGACGTGAGGGCGGGACAGGGAGAGAGTGAGGGAACAGAAGAGATAGTACAAAATTATCTCATTATCCATTATCACTGTACTCATCTGACTCCTATAATTATAATCCCTCTGTAATTCACCTTAATATCACAATAAAATAAATATTTTTAAAAGGTCAGTAATACTTATAAACCTTGTGAAAAATGGAGAAAAACATAATGGAAAGACACAATTTCCCAATGTATTAAATATTTGACATAAGCAACTTTTCAAATAAATCTGAGAGATATGTAAATTAAGTCATAAAAATTAATTGCCATGAATATAAAAAAGAATAGCTATTATTGGGAATGCTGCCCACTGTGGGTGGTCATTACCTTAAGGAGGAATTCTTTACCTATTTTCATACACATACAAAATACATATACAGAAACATATATAGAGGCTCTTAAGATGTTATAGAAGGTTGACTACAAGGTTTTAAAAAATTCAAGCATAGAGTGAAAATTATGCTAAACATTATCATTACATCTAGATAAATCCATTGTAGGTTGGATATATTATTGGTCAAAAATGTGTATAATACAAGTTGAGTGCCAGTGGCTTGTATTACAATCGCCTGAATGGCGTATAATGTTATCTACTCAGGAAGTTCAGATCTGAGGATCACTGTTCAAAGCCAGCCCAGGCAGGAAAGTCTGTGAGACTCTCATCTCCAATAAACCACTTAGAAAACCAAAGTAGCTCTATGGCTAAAGTGGTAGAGAGCTAGCCTTGAGCTGAACAGCTGAGGGAGAGGACCCAGGCCAAGTGCAAGCCCCACAAATGACAAAAAATATGCATCTCTTACAAATATCCTGCAGAACCATTTTAGGTAGCCATGCTACCTTACATGCCTCTGAACACTTCCATTATTCTGCTGTTGGGCGAATACATCTAACAAAAAGCCTATCTTTATAATAATTGTATATTTATGATATACTGTTATGTAGTGTTTGTTTTCTCTTGTGATTAGTCTATATATATGTATATATGCATATATATGTATATATATATCTGGCTACTGGAAATTGTTGCTTGGTGCGTCTGATTGGTATCAAGGAAGAGTATTAGTACTAGGTATCAATCACCCATGGAAAGATAAGCATTGAAAATATGAATCTAGATTGCTACTGAGCACACACTGCTTTGGAGACAGTGGAAAGAAAAAAAGAATTACAATTATTGATCCATTGGAATGCAAACCATCGTAAGTTGAACATTACTTATGTATAAGAAGTGTGGACCTCTAAATTATTTAAAATTACTGTAAAACTTTTTAAATTAAAATTTAGTGGTATAGATAATGAAGAAGAAATAATTGTCTGAAAATATATACATCAAACAAAATTATTAGTTACCTTATTACATTTTCTAGAAATAGAAATGGATGGAAAGGTTTTGGACCACCTGTTAAAAGTCACAAAGATATAAAGTGAATGGACACAGAAGACATGTAGGGGTCAAACCAAGTAATTTTGAAATAAGCCACTAGTTACTAAGGTCAGCTTCATTTGAGTTTCTAAATGAGTAGGAACACTGGGGCATTTTCCCCACCTTTCTTCTCCTTGTCTATTACCATTGGAGTAATAAGGAAAGATTGGGTAACTGCAGGACAGTCATGATGGAATATCAGAAGAAAACACAATAAAAAATAAAAATAAGAAGGTGAGAATTTCTGTTTGATTGGGCACAGGGAAAAGACAGCTTGTCAGGGCACTAACCCTATCTCTCCAAGGATTTGAAGCCTCAGTTTCCCTGTTATGTAACAGTTCGAAAGATGAGAAACATTCTGAGTAGAGAAGGGATCATGTCCCATAATAATGTTCATGGTGAAGCTTATTTTCAAATATTCTCTAGATAGATGGTTCTACTCCATCTTCCCTTGCCACTACGTATTCTTCCATGATTATGCAGGATCACAGCCACTGATGCAAACAATGACCATGGGAGAAAGCAGGACTGAGCAGAGGGTACACAGCTGTGGCAGCAAAATCTCTGACTTATTTTCTGTGAAGTTTGTGGTGGAGGCTGAAGTGTTGAGAGGGAAGTTTACAAAACTGTAGTGAGTAATAGTTGGTTATGTGAATCACAGGGAGGCTGGTGATGGTCAGTGTGAAATCTGTCCCAAATACTCTCTATGGAACCCACCAGGGACCCAGACATCCAAGGAAATGGCCACCAGATGAGCTCTGTAGGATCAGGATCTATTTTCTTCTGGTCCTACGTAGGGCTAGATCTCTGGCAGGAGGTAAGTGTGAAAGAAGTGCACAAGGAACACATGTCAGGAGAACAGGCTTAAGCAGGTCTCATTTATTTCTGTACATGGTGGGGGGGGATTTTATAGCCCCAGCGTTCCCAACCTCCTGAGTCCTTCTCAGCCAATTACTCAGTGGGGAGTTGATATAAGGCACTTGTGATTGGCACTGCTAGGTGACAGGCACTGATTGGTCCCCTGGGGGCATGTAGGGACCTTGGACAGCTCAGGGCTGGCAAGCTAGGCAGACGTGTCTGTGGTTTATATCTCTATGAGCAGGAAGTATGCTTCAACTGCTACTCTAGCTGACTCAACCAGATCTGACCAGCTCTACCCACAAATTCTCCTTTTTCTTTTAAAAGGACCGTCATTATGGTGACCCATTGTTGCAGGTGTTTTCGCCGGGAGTGCAAACATTTAATACTTCCTAGGATAGTAAGCCCTACAAGTGCAAGGCCTCCCCAGATTAGCAGAGAGGATGGCAAAAACCGGTGCTGTAACTTTTTATGCACATCTTCTAAAAAGGAGGCAGTGGGAATAAGCTGTATGGTGGTCTGGTTTAGGCGGGTAACATCATGCAGCAGGTGGTGGGTGAAGTTTAAGTACTTC